TGCAAAACCGATTTCTGGGCCAACTGTGTATTTGGTTGCTTGAGATGGCCCGTATCAGTCATTATACACAATTGCTCATGATTGAATTTTTTTACTAACCCTACTTTCTCTGCACTCTCTTTGTTTCAGGCCATGTCATTAAGAAAGTTAGCCTATAAGGCAGTTATCTGTCTATCAGAACTGCTTTGTTGTACATGTTGGCCTGATTTGATACACAATTAATCTTGACTAGCATCACTGGGAATAATTTTTATAGATTCTTTTATCACACAATATATTGCAACTTCAACTGTTGTTTATGTTTGGCGTCTAATATATGAAATTGTTTTCCGAGAAAAAAAAAAGACAAGTCCTATATATTTTACGCAATACGATAAAAGGGGAATTACGCAAATTATTTAAGTCGTTGCTTGGAACTGTGAAGCTAGATTTGTAAGATCGGTGATTATCTTTTTGGATTTCGTGTGGACCGAGATATTTGTTTCCAGTAGCTCATGAAAATTCGATGTGGTTACGAAGTGAAGTGATCAGAGTATATTATGACTATATGTATATCGAAACATGAGATATTCTCGGTGCTAAGTCTAGAATGGAGATTTCCAACATGTCAATTATGAATTTTCAATGATATTGCTCAATATTAGGGACCAGCGTAATGGAATCAAGATGATCGCAATTCAAAATAGTACTTTTGTGCTTTGGAATTTTGATGTCACGAAAATTGCGGAATATGAGTGGGCTCTGTTCAAAGGCAGGATATTGTTGATGTAAATCTCTGAGCCGAAGCTCTGAGGTTTCTTTGCAGGCTTCTCACTGGAATTCTTTTACTTTGACTGCAAAGTAATTTTTTGATACTCGATTCTGGCAGGTTGGGATGTGGCCTGCTATTCTTTTCTGAGATGATTAATCTAATACGCTATACAGCAAACATATAAAACCAAGTCAAGTAACAAGTCATCAGAGAGAGCTCAGTGAAGGCAGGGTACAACTTGTACGGTAGCACTGTATGCATGGTAGAAAACGCAGTGAAGTGATATGTTGGAATAAGAACGTATCACTGAAAAACTACTTGGACAACTAAACGTCGCATGTTCTACATGAATGATTTCTGAATTACAGAGGAACCTAGCAGCATTCTGAATCACGTATACCAATCTACATACAGACGAGACCAACATATTCAGCTTTCAATCACCCGAGGCACATTCCTCGAAACCCCTCACCTCACCTCAACAACAAGCCACCTTCATCGTATCGACGATATTCTCTAAATTTCCCGTTTACAATATACATACATCCGCCCGCTCCCCGTCAATCCTCAAACGCCATAACAGCCTCAATTTCCCCCCAAACCCTCCAAAAAGCAGCCATTACAAAACCCGCAATCCAACGCCAAACCCCTCCCATTCCCCGGATTCTCATTTCGAAGTAACATTCTACGCAGGGAACATGAAAAAAACAACCCGAGAAAAAAAAAGAATCAGTCGATGCACCCACGCAATCCCCTTCTTCACAGCAAACAAGGAACCCTTCTCTGATCCAAAAAAAATCCCGCCCCCAAACCCCACGACAAAAACGACAAGAACCCCCACATTCCGAATCGAACGTTCGATGCAGCGACACACAGCGCAGACTAAGAATCCTTCACCTCCTCATCGTCTGGTCTCTCTACCCCCATGTAGCACATGAAACCCCCCATTCTGCAGTCGCAATCCAAAGCGGTCTAAATAAGGTACTTTCCGCATACCCTTTCTTTCTATGACCCCCCGATTCGCACACACACACACACGCATCATACGCCCTGCCATCTTTCCGATTGGAGACAAATGTAGACATACGATGCGTTGTGGGGCGGGGCGCGGCCGATTGCGATCGAAACCACGGGTATTTATTGAGGGAAGCAAAGGGTGGAGACATGCAAAGGGGAGGAGGAGAAAAATAACTGGTCACTATATGTATGTATGTATGTATGTTGTATGCAGGATTAGCTACAAGGGGGAGAGAGGCGGAAACGGTAGAAGTATACAAGGGAAGGGGAGGGGGTAGGCGAGAAGGAAGGGGGGGGGGGAGACAAGGACCGGCATCCTCTTCCCTATACCCGCCCGCCCGAAATGTAGGGTAAGAAAGAGAAATCCCCCACTTTTTTTTCTTTCTTTCCTTTCCTGCGTTGCGATGGTTTCTCCACTTTTGGAGAGGACAATTAGCGGCCGCATATAGGGTTGGTCTATGTGTACATGGCGAAATGTGAGGCTGATGGTTTGAGAGTGGGTAAGAAAGGTGTGCCCATTTTCGTGTTTTGTGTAACGGGCGATACGGGTTTTACGGGGGCTCGAAAAGTACCTCGTATTCTGAATTTGGAAAAGTGGGATAGCGTGTTATGTACGTTGAGGGGCTTTACGGTCTTATTGTGGAGAATATTTTTTTGGAAGGAAAAAGTAGCTGGGAAGTGTCAGGTGTTGCGTGTTGCCAGGTGAGGCGAGTTTGCGTTGCGTGAATTTTTTTGGGGAGGGGAAATAAGGTGAGTACGTGCGGGTAGGATGAAATGGAGCATGTATAGTACGTCACATGGAGGAATGCAATAGTTGGCTTGGCAATGGGTATGGGTAGTGTCATAATTAGCGGGCTTTTGTTAAGATTTTAGAGTGGTACTATACTACACGTGCTTATCTGGATAGACGTAGGAGAATTTTACTATACACATGTCTTGAACACTGACGCACGCCTAGAATGTACCCTTTTCTTGTGCGACGTTTGATGTCATCTATTTTGGTGAGTTGAGTAATTTTGATGTGTCCACATTTGGCATGGCTATGTGGGTAGGATGAGAGAGGGATTTAGAAGCGAGCTACTAGCACATGCTTGATGCATGATTTTGGGGGCTGACTGCCGTTCGGAGGTAATCGAAAACGATAGTTTAATAATCTACTGCAGCAAAATATTGAGGGATGTTAACTGTGAAGAGCACAATCGTCAAGGCGCAAGAGGGAGAAGGGGTCATGGTCGCCTAGGGTTCAAACAGTGCCCAGCAACTGCACACCGTTCAGAGATGTGATAGAACAAGCGTCAGACCGATGTGTCTTGGCTTTGGGATTTACAAGGCTGATTACTGATCTCAAGAAGGATTCGAGGTTGGCGCGATCCCAGGCGATATCGAATGTTCCGCACAAGGGTTTGTGGCCAACCACGGGCGCCACGTCCAGGGTTGCGGAGGCAAAAAGGCTTGACAACCATGGTGTTTTGGCGAGGCGTTGAGAGGAGCAGCGGTTGCGAGAACAAGGGATGCAGAGGAGGATGGCGACAGCAACAGGCTTGAAGGATGCTGCGGGCAAGGAAGGGCTTGGTTGGGGGTGGGGATTGCGTAGCCACACCCCTTTTTATCATCAAACAGGACAAGTCTTTGAACGGCATGGCAGGAGCCCGGTGCGGGGACCAGGGCCCAGCGTCGCCAGGCGTAGTCGACGGTTTCGTGATGTACAACATACATGGAGGCTGAGAGTGGGTGGCTAGGCTGGAGCGGTCGCGGGCCTTATGGTCACCTCACCATGAGGAGCTGCACGTGCTCCTGGAGGCGTCGCCTGCAAGCCTGCGTATTGCGTGTTGCGTATTAGGTCAATGCATGTGTCGATGCAATCCCACACAAGACCAGCGCCAGATGGCATTATGTATGTATGTATAAACAATCCATAGAGATAGACGAGTGATTTGTGGCTCTGGTTGGGACATGGGCATGGAGCTACTGAGATCTAGGTGTAGAGGCACGGCTCAGTAGGTGCGATTGACGGATTGCGGAAGCGGAAACGGGAGCCGCTCACCGATGAGTACCTGGAGCCATGTGCAGGCCAATTAAGCGCAATCGATCTATTGTTACGGGCGGCGCGACAGATCTGAGGTTTTCTTCTTGCATCTGCGAGTGCATCGGGGCAGGCGGCTGGGGGGAGGGGGCGGGGTGGGGGAGCGGGTGGCAGAGTGGCAGACTGGAGGGCAGACAGAGGAGGGCAGGCGGCGAATAAGGCCGAGATGGGGCCGACCGTGTCGTTGGGGTGGCGCCCGCCTACCAGCTAACCGCCACCACCACCACCACCCACCATCACCACCACAGTGGAAGCAGAAGCGCGTTCAAAGCTCGAGGCGACCAATTCGAGCCGCCCGAGTGGCTTTTCATTGGCGGACCGGGGTGCCGATAGCCGGCATAGTGGCACTACACACCTCTCCCCTACACCTCCTGCGGCCAGGCCATATGCACCTGTCCTATTACACCGCGGCCTGCATCCCAAAGCCGCAGGCACACAGCACCTCGCCAATCTGCGTCGCCATCTGCCGCACATCGTCTTCGGGGAGATCGTGCATCGTCATGACGGCTGTCTGGTCATGGTTGCAGAGCATTGTCGTGTACACCCTCGAGAGTGCTTTCGTTCCAAACCACCTCTACCTCTGCCCAGGAAGAGCACGGCCCCGCCCAGGCCTCGACACAAATGCTGTGTATGCCACACCACACTTGTTGTTGTTCCTTTTCGAGCGCTGTGCATCGGATGCTGTCACAGATCCTGATAACCGTGCCCGAAAAGGTAATAGCAGGGACTCCGAGGGTCCCTCCCTGGTGGGGCTCCTCAAAATACATACACTTCGGCGATCTCTTTGATACCAGCGCCGCAAGCACTGACTAGCCCATACTGCACACGTCTGTACAGGCCGTAGGTGACGGTTGACTTCCCATCTTGCAAGCGCATCGCGACATGGCCGTGGGATACTCTAGTCTTGCTATGTATTTGGAAGGATTGTACTTAGCCCATGGTTCGGTGGCCGGTAACCGCGACAGGCGAGCGCGGTACCTTTTTCGTCCTGGATCAATTAACCTATTACTGAAGTGTCAGCAAGTAGACATACACCTGCATACCGACATGCCTGCAATGTACTCGCCGTCTCTGCCTCTCCACCCATCCACCCACCATCGTTCGCGGTCCCGCTATTTCGGATCGTTCAGGCACATCGGTATCGCATTTTCAGATCATGCACCTCAGCTCTGTTCGAGTTAGCCTCGTTCGCATAATCCCTGCCCCTCATGCGCCTGCCTCGTTGATGTGACACAAACTCGTCATTGTCATCTTCCGAATGCAACCTGCGCCTGTCTTTTGACGCCAAGCGCGCTAGCTTGTAGTCGCGTAATCCATAGGCCCTGTCCTGGGTACAGCACAAAGAAATCCCTGATCAATGGGCCGACAGACATGCAGCACAGTCTTTCTGTCCAAAGATGAACACACACATCTGACTCCACGGCCAACCTGACTCGTGGCACACACACACACACCACACCTCTGTAATCCCATCATGTCGCTCATCTTGGTCGCGAAGATTCCAACAGCGCCACCCACCACACGACCAAAATAACCCACACAACATGGGACCGCCACGTTGGATCGTACTCTACACTCTACGCGAGCCGTGATCGTCCCTCCTTTACAGAAGCCAGCATGGCATCGAGGCCTCTGCCCAAGTACGTATGACTATTCCTGTGTCAGCGCGAAGCTTGCTGCAAGTCCTGCATCCAACCGGCCCGTCATGTCGAGTTTCAAGTCATTTGACCCTACCCATGCAATATATTCTCTCTATGGGGCAGCGGGACTGTGTGCACCCTGAGGCCCAGTGTTATAAACCTCCGAGCGTAAAGACGAGGGTGAGGGCAGGAGTTGAGAGCTAAATAGGCAGATGGATTCGGACCTTCAGGTTGGCAAAGGGTCTGGATGCAGGGATATAGAGGAGGCCTGAGAAGAAAAAAACCTGCAAAAGGATGAAAAACAACAGATTGTCAGCGTGGTGATTACCTGAGGCAAGCGCCCATGATCCCTTCCACGTGTTGTGGCACGTTGCGGCTCGCTGCAAAGCAAAGTCTGACCCGCTTCAGGCTGAATGAAATCGAAACAATTACTGCGAAACAGTCTATCTTGAATCCAGCAGATGCAGCACAGCTTGCATCCAACAGACCTTGGACTGGTCGCGGGAACAGCTGCATGACACTACCGTATCTCGCATGACAACATGGTCGATAACCATACGATGCCGTGCATTGCATCTCAACTGGCCAGAACGCTTGTCTCGCTTATATGCATCTTGGAATATTTGCGGTGAGAGTGGGTTATATGCCCATAATGGCGAGATAAGTCTACTCATTGGGGCAACACAGCCGAATGCGAGCCTATGATCGTCTTGAATCCTTCTGGAATCCACCTTCGATTTTACCCGCCTGAGCAAATGTAATGCTCGAGTTTTCCTTGCTGCCGGCACAGCCCATGACTGCCAAACGATGTATGTACGCAGATGCCGGCAGAGACGATCGAGAGATACTCATGCATGTTTTTGCTGTAGTATGACGCATGGATTTATCCGGACCATTGTCTTTGATCCTCGTGGTCGGATCAACGTCGGAATTAGGCTTTGTTCCGGAGTGTTGGAAGCAGCAAGGGATAAGTACGGTCAAGGTCTTCGAGGCCTCTTCCCTGCGCCAGCTCGTCCGGTGAGGAGTGACGCTGCACTGCGAGAGAGGTGCGGGTGCGAGATCAGGCATGGTTGACATTGGTCATGCAGCACAACAGGAGGCCTCGGCGGTGTGCACGGCGTCCGGTATGCGGTTGTTGACCTGCACAGCAATAGAGAGCCAAATCTACACGAGGGGTAGAGGAGCGGTGACATCTGGCTCTGCCGGCTGGAACGTGGTTGTTGCTACTACGTCCTGACATGATGCGGTGAGCGGTTGCGTGACCCGAGCCATTCTCGAGGCGCCTAGAGGAGTGCATGCGTTTGATAGATGCGACCATAGACAAGGGCGACCGCATTGTCACATACTGTTGTATGTAATGTGTGTATGTGTGCGTATGGGGGTGTGGGTGGGTGTGTGCAAGTAAGTAGGAGGAGGGCAGGGAACATGGTTCATCCACGTCGTCAGCGGGCGGGGAAGGACTCGGGCCTGTCCGTTTGGACACTTGACACTGCCGCTGCCTCGATCTTCTAACCCAGGTGAGCCTGACAGGACAAACAGTGCGCCTTGACGCAGCGGGTGGGAGATCCGTGTGTCCTGGAGAGATGGCCCTAACGACTGACGTGCATGCTATGAACTAGTGGAAAGCTTTGAGCGACCCGCCTGGGGAGTGAGCAAGCCTGTCCAGAGGGCTTTCTGCAAGGATGACGGCCAGACTAGTGGGTGATCGCAGGTCGCATTTGCCCGAACAAGGGCCGCGGCTTCTTGCCGATGGTTCCGCGCACCGCCGCCGCTGCTGCCGTCCGCATCGCTGCGCTTGGACCAGCGCATGATTGAAACATCGACTGCACGCTATCAAGTCCATCTGGCTTGTCGTGATGCTGACCACAACGAGCCCTCGCGCCACCCTAGCTTCCGCAATGATGCCCCATTGGGCCCGTGGCCATGGCCGTTGTGCAATTGGCCTGCCAGCCCTATCCTCTCCATGACCCCCGACGAGGAATCCTGTCCTTGGGGCGGCCATGTCACTCGACACCGCTGTCCTGTGCTTGTGCTTGTGGCCACGATACTCTACATGCATGCCATCTGTATACTACCCACCAGCGGCTCTCCAGCCTCCGCCGACGGCCTGCCGCCGCCGCCGCTCGGCGATCTCTAGAAGGGGGAGATGAGGCAGACGAGGCCATCTCGCCATAAGTCCAGTGCATGTTTGAGGCTACTGCAGGTCCACCATTCGGGATGCTGAATTTCCTAACAAATTCAGCCACTCATCCACAGCCGTCATAGCCACTGGGCCAGCAATACGCAATTGAGAGGAAGAGCCGTCAAGACAATAGGGACCCCCTGTGCTTGGTGCCATCGTGGCCAGCACCGAGGTCCAAGCAGCGCCTCGCTAATCGGGGCAGTGAAGGGTCTCTGCAAGGCTCCCGTGTGGCACAGATTACATCTTGATGCCAGCAGCTAGGTGCAGGATCCATGTCAAAGGGGGCTTGTCACTTCCCACGCGCATCTCAACACACGAACGGTGAGGCTAGGCGGACAAGTGAGGGGAGGGGGGGGGGGAGGGGGTCCTTATGCCAGAAGCAGCTTCGAGTGCATGTTATGATGATGTGGATGGCGACTCTGCTTCACTGTGGCCGTCTCAAAATGGGCATTTACACATGTCGAGGAAACTGCGTCCATGTTGCATGTCGCGCATACACTTCACCATGTCTAGTTCAGACGCAGACAGACAGTGAGTAAAAGTAGAGGGCTGGTATGAGCGCAAGGTCGGCATATCGGAATCCCGTGCTCGGTCAGAGCTCTCGCTTTAGTGTACGTCAATGCTCTAGCAGAGTGATGTTGCAGATGGTTGAGCGTCCATGGCATTAGCCTGGGATTGCAAATAGGTCATGGTAAAACGGTCGTAATCAGGCTGCTCGTGATCGCCTGCGACTATCTCGGTACCCGCAAAAGCCACAGGCGTGCTAATCGGGTAAGGAGGGAGATTGAGAAATCTGGTACTAGAGGCCGTTGGCTGCGACTTGAATCGCGCAATAGCGACGGTGCACCAGGCAAGAGTCGACGGGCAGGTAGCGGGGGCCCTAGAGCATGTCGGCGACGATAACGCCACGGGAGATCTGAGTTCACAGGTGGAGACAGCTGATGGCGGGTTGCGATGGGGGGTTTGATCGTCTGTGACACCCCCGGCGTCTGTCCACTGCTACTGACGCCCTGAGGAAGGTTCTAAACGTGGCCAGGACGCGGATAGAAGGGTGTAGCAGAAGCATTTCGACCTAGTACTAACCCGAATCGAGGGGCAGGTTTCCGTCCGACCATGGCCGTGGGATGGATGTCGTGTTTCACAGTTGCCGTATGGCGTGAATAAACAAGTCGAGTTGGGCGACGAGGAGAGGAGCCTGGCTTGGCGCAGGGCACGTGACGCCGCCCACCTCCACGGCTGCCCCATTCCAAAACTTTGTCTGTCCGCGCAAACACCCATCTTCCAAACACCGACCAGTGCGTCGAGCACAGTTGAATTGCGCAACCAATGCCTTGAGCATCCGCGCTGATGGCGTTGTACGCCAGGGACCTCGACCTAGCGCCCAGGAGGTGGGGCGGTACGGCCATCCACTGCCCCGTATGACAGTCGGGGGTTCCCATACAAGCTAAAGGCAGCTAACGTCAGTCGGGAAAGTTACAATGACTTTACGTCCGGGCGGAACTACAGATTACCTAAGGTACTGCGCAGCCCGGGCGTGCAATTCGCGGCTATCCTCTGATGAGCTTATTCGCTTTCTCCCATGATTGGCGCTCCGAGGGGGGCTTCATATGCGGTCCCGTCAACGCCCCGGGAAGAAGCGTCGACCGCCACGACGCCGGCCAGTGTTAGATGCAATAGCGCAAATCTGCAACCACGTGTGGTTGTACGGCACACCGAGGGCCGCGCTCGACACTACGCTGCCACACCAAGACGAGAGGCAAGCCACGATAAGCCTGCAGGCGATGATCCTCACTGGGATTCCCAACCAGGCCTGCCTAATTCCCGTGCCTGTCGGAGAGGTCCAACGCGCACACCACCGTCGAAACAAGTGGCAATGTTTCGACAGCCTCATGCGACTCCAACCACGCGCCGGAAACGTGTGTCAGAGCCGTGCCAGAGTCGCTGAGCGCCGTTGACCCTCTCTCATGGTCCACCCACCCCATTCAGTGCGTGGTTCTGGAGAGCTACTATGGCGATCTATGTTTCGCCCAATCGAGCGTGGCTTGGGCGGCCTCGATGGGACGACCCCCACACTGCACATGAGACGGCGACGCCATGGGTCTGTTCACACCTGGGACAGTACCCCGGTTCTGCCCTGAGGCTACATCCTGGTCGCATGTCGTGCCCCGTAACCCCCCCATAGCGCCCCCTGCCGGTCAGCTCTGCACTAGAACCACCATCCACCACTGCTTGGCCTGCATGCGAGAGCGATGTTCCTTGTCTCTCCTGCTGCAAGCATGTCCGCTCCAGTCTCTAGGCCACACGGGCTCCACAACAATCACCATCCTTGCTTTGCGGGATGCTCAAGTGGTAGTGCATCTGGCTGGCCCTTCCCGTATGTAAAGACCCAAAAGGCTCCCCAATCCCAACCAGATCGATCGAACAAATCTACAATACTCCCACGTCATCCGATCTTGTATCTCCATCTCATCACCCTGTTGCCGTCTTGATACCCTCTTTTTTCAAAAAAGCCCCCGGCCCAAGCCGTACTTACCACTTTCTCTCCTGCTTTATCCCCCCGCCCGTCTCATCCGCGGACTATACCCTCAGTACCTCACCGTCTGCTCTGTGGTACCAGCTTCTTTCCCTTAGCATGGCCGCTGTTGTTGCATCTCATCAGTCTGGTCTTTGGCAAGAACGACGGGAACCTCCTTATCAAATGCCCAACATGCACAGCTCTAGCATGATCCCTCAGTACGACACTTCGCGTGCCGCCACCAGCGCGCCAGTCTCGCGGAGCTTTCAGCCCACCTCCACACAAATGGACATGAGCATGCCTCTCTACTCTTCCAATGGCCTCGCCACCACTGTCCCCTACCAGCCGGGACAATTCGCATACGACGCCACGTCGGTGAACCCATACACTATGCAACAGCCGTCATACTACCAGTCGAGTATCCCACATCCTGTGTCCTACCCTCCATCGACCGATGTCCAGCAACTTCCAACAGTACGAGACAGCCGAAATCTCTTCAACCCTCTGGTCAAGGCCGAAAGCACGTCGCCTCTCCAGTCGAACCCGATATATGGCGAAACATCCTACCCATCCGGCGCTAAGCGTTCCAACTCTGTCCCGACAGAAGGCACTTCTGTTCACTTCTCGACCGATGTAGACACTCTGATGAAGGCCATCCAAGCAAAACAGACAACCCCTTCCGAGCCAGCAGAGCCCAAGGTACGTACTCAGCACTGTTTGAAAGTCTATTGTCTAATCAGAAAGCAGGAGGACACCACCAAGCCTTCTCAAAAACCTCGCAAGCGCTATCAATGTACTGTCCCTAACTGCAACAAGAGCTTCTACCAGAAGACTCATCTCGAAATCCACATCCGCGCTCACACTGGAGCTAAGCCATTCGTAAGGCTATTGTCACGTTCAACTATTTGTACCAATCTGACCTCGACTGTAGAACTGCAAGGCCCCAGGTTGTGGACAGTCATTCTCTCAATTAGGTAACCTCAAGGTGAGTTCTTCCACTGCCACCTGTCCACATAGCATACTAACACGTTCAGACACACGAGCGACGACACACTGGCGAACGACCCTACAGTTGCGATATCTGTGGCAAAACCTTTGCTCAGCGGGGCAATGTACGAGCACACAAGATTGTGCACCAGCAGATCAAGCCCTTCACCTGCAAGCTCGACGACTGTGGCAAGCAATTTACTCAACTCGGTAACCTCAAGGTGTGTACTGCGGAGAACACCTCGATTCTGCAAGCAGACACTAACAGAACGCAGTCACACCAGAACAAATTCCACGCCACTACCCTCAGATATCTCACGACAAAGTTTGCAACCATCAGCATGGGCGACTGGGTGTCCAAAGAAGACAAGGAGCTCTGGGAGTACTTTGCATCTCTATATAAGAACTCCAACAAGGGCATCAAAGGTCGTGGCAAGGACAGGCGCATCTCAGCCATGTCATCGTCCGCCTCGTCTTATCCTTCATCGTACCCCGCCATGCCAATGGCCTCAATGTCCCGAAGCTATGGTGGATCTTTCCACCACAGCAGCGAACGTAGCAGTCGAAGCTCCTCCATGTCATCTGATACCATCCAGCGAGTGGACAGCGGATACGACTTCAACGTTCCTATGCCAACAGGATACCATCAACCTCCGGCCAGTGGATATGACGATATGGTGTTCCCGGAGCGCAAGCTATATTAAACATTTCCTCGACACGATGGTCGACTTTTCCTACGGGCTAGGGGGTTTTTGGGCACGGTTCAGGCGTTATGGGACATTGGCGCTGGTTTACAGTTGGGGATTTGAGGCAACGGGTGATCAGTACCCCAGCTAGCGCAGCAAAGGGCACTGCCTTTCATTTCACATTGGTCTTTAGACGGTAGTCTCATGGCATCGCTACACGTTAACAGTAATGTCTTTCACGCATTTCCATGTATCCTTATGCGCTCGATCGCAACCAAAAAAATCATGTATACGTATCAGAGCTAAGGGGTTTGCTGTTTGTAGCGGCGTGTATGCGCTCAACATTGTATCAATAGTTTCACCAGTAGGATAGCAATCAACTTGGGGTCGAACAAGATACCCTGTAAACTGTCTGGTCTGATGGTGCGCCGCAGTCACGAGACTGGGGGTCCAGATGTTGCGTTGTGCAAAGACACTCACCGCTTGATGAGCAGTAGTGAGCTAAAGCCGACATACATTGCGCATGCTTGCTGCAAGACAATCCTTCGACCTCACCACAGCTGGCTTCCAGTCGCCACACACCACATCGTTTGTAGGGGGGAGCATATGCACTTACGATGTCGACAACGGGAAGCGAGGTGCGCCCGGGGAGTTTAATTGTAGGGGGTGTGGCAGGATCAGTGACCTTGGGTACAAGAGTCGGGATTGCTGAGGGGATTGGATAGTGACAGGACAGTTTGCCGCGATGAAGTCAGCCAGTATAGGGACGTGATTGGATGGCAGTCTGTCCGCCTGTTCCGCGACTAAGAAGCAGCCTTGATAGGGAGAGTCACGTAGCGCAAGTTACATGGCAGTGCCTGACAAAGCCGCACGAAACGACCAGGTGGTCAAACCTTGCGTGGGTAACTTTGCAGAATCTGAACAGCTCAGCAGCAGCAGTGCGGGTGCAGTTATCCGGTCAGGTTGCAGAGACGCTGATGATAAAAGACACTGACTAGCAATCTCGTAAGGCTGGTAGCGAGTGGACTCGAGTAAGAGGGTTCCGTCTCCACCCAGAGTTGCATCGCGGAACCTGGCATCAATGAGCTTGTTGAGCGCTCATTGGCCCGGCAAGAAAAGATGCTCATCCTGCACTCCCGGTGACAGCCAGATCTCAGACTAGTCCACTTCTTGCCTCCAGTTTCAGGTCGACATGTACATACAAGCATGTCGATGGAGTCTTGCCAAAACGGCCGCTCCAAAGTGCGGCCAATGACTAAGTCTTACACTCTACGCTCTGGGCACCGTGGAAAAATATGCTCCGTCCGCCTCCCCTGGTCAAGCAAGAGGCAAAAAAAAGGAGGGTTCAATGTCGCCATCGCGCGGACCATCATTCTCGAGATACGTCACGTTGGCGTTGTTATCGCTGGACCATGACGTTGGGAAACGTGATGACGATGCGAACGCCCAAAGGAATTTGGGTCAAAAGCCTCACTTTTTCTTATTTTAGCTTCGAGGCCAAATGCTCACGACCAAGGCCACGAAGCCACCGACAAAAAGTCGCTCGACGGGTTGACACTTGACGCTTGACATTTGACACCTTGGCCCCTCCTAGCCATGATCAGCATCCGTGCTAGCTGTCGATCTCTTTTGTCTACGCAGGTCCAGAGCCCTTTGCTACCTGAGGGATGACGTCGTCGTCTGCGCCAACCAGCCAGTCGCCAGGCTGGACATGGGGCGGGTGGGGATTTTTCCACCTTTGGCAAGATAGATGGCCATGAGTCGGGGTTGCGCAGCCCGACGAGCAATCACAGGTACGTACATACCTACACATGCCTACATACAATAAAACGGATAGCAAGCAAAGTTTGGACCCGCTGTGGGGGCACCGGGGGGGCGATTCAGAGGCACCACTAAGAATCCACCTGGTCTATAGTCTAAGTATGCTCTACCGAAATTCTACTAGTGGTCAGCCTCCTCATACCCACGTCCTTGCCCAACCTCACAAAAGTTACGCAAAACGGACGCGAAAGATATGCCTCAACCCGCCTCATCTACCAAACGGGCTTCGTGATGAGACTTGCTCTGACTTTCGTTTACGAGTGGGGTGTGGGGGGAATTGATTACAATATTGCGCGGCCCGGCAGAATCACGTATGTTGCGTTACCCCAAACAAAGTGTCACTGTTAGCCTTCCATACGCCACCTCGTGTCTCTCTCTCCTTCACTTCCTCACCCTCGTCCTTCCCTTACCACCCACGCCTGATTGCGGTATACGGTACGAATAAACGCGCGTCCCCCGCCCTCTACTAATTCGCCATGATTTTCCGGTAGTTTTCCTGTAGGTCGTGCTGAAGCTCCGCAGCGGGCCGCTGTCGCAACCGCCCGCAAAGGTCGCCGGCAGCGCACATGCCGTCTGGGCCGGTGTCAATCATCAACGCCTTTGTAGACAAAGTCGCCGTTGCCCCCGTCAAACTTCCAGCCTTTGGCCTGCTCATCCCTGGCCGTTGGGTTACTTGAAACCCTTTGATTGCGGCTTACCGATTCGTCGGGCTCTCATTTCGCCCTGTCCCATACCGAACCTAGTCCACCTGAAAGAGAGCCGTCCGAGTCAGTCAAGGTTTGGCCCTGGGTACCTGTGAAAAAAGCCCAAGCCTTACTCGTGACCGCGGGCCTCACTCCGCCGACAAGGTATCTGAGTCGTGCCACAGGCGGGGCGGAATGGAGACCGAATGCGCTGAAGGCGAATGCGAACAAAAGGTGGGTCAAATCCATCTCGAATCGGCCACGCAAACATCGCCAGTGTCAAAGTATGCAAACCAGTTTGGTTATCACCAGTACTCCGCATTGTGAACGTATTGTGCAGCCGGAAACGGCTGCTCCATGCGCTGTGCGCCGTTCAGAAAACATGCACCGCTTGCAATCCAAAGCCTTTCTCGCAACATTCGATCTATCATCGATCGCCCCGATCCTAGCAGCACCCCCGGCCCCAGCTACCAATATTTTACTACATTTCTCTGCCTTTGCCTCTTGTTTGGACGTTAACTACTACACCGCGTTGGTACCCATTCCTAGGTTCATGACTCTGCAACTCCACTCTCGCGCTGCGAACCTATGGCCTGAAACCTACGTCAAAAGTCACACGACGCTCATCGCCTTGCCAAAATTGGCCACCTTTGACTCTCCAATAAATTACAGGCACCACATGCAATGTCTTTCTGCAGTACTTGCCCGGAGAATTTCGCGCAAAATGCAGGGTTTGTATGGCGGCGGAACAATATATCCTATGCATGCTCGTTGCTGCATGCCAATCCCTAAATGACAAAGGCCTCGAAGAATGTAGAAACAAGACCGCGCGCTATGGAGACATCGTGATCGCCTTGGGTCGGCGAGGTGATGATCGTGGTCTGATTCATGAGCGCGCACATTATGCTCTCGACCATCTTGGTACAGGCCTCCACCTCACTGTCTATGCACGTCTCACTTTGACATTAAAGAAAACCTCCACCTCGACCCTGCCAAATTTCTTGCTACTTAATCAACTGTACGCCTTACACGTGGGCTTCGTGTAACGACTTTTCCTGCTTGGGACGAGCCATAACCGTTTTGGGACCGACGTGCAGTCGTGCGACTGCTTCATCCAACACGTCGGACTTGGAGGTTCACCAAGTCCAAGCTACACCATTTCTGGACTCCAACCCAACGTTAATTGGGTCATAGGCATAGATGCGTCATGCATCCATTCCCCTTCTTCATGATTATACTATCGCGTATGCGATTTGCACCTCGCACTCGCATCTCAAAAAAAAAGTTGAAGATGAGTTTATTGCTTCGGCCAAGTCCGCCTGTGTGCAGTTTTTCCTGCATTCCGGATGTCTCCGTTGTCATCGTCCTTTTGCGGACATTGATGCGACTTGTAGACATGCTGACCTCAATTTTCATACGTCTTGGTCTCCTATCCGCCTTGTCCTATGCTTCCGAACAGTTCCATTATCAATATTTCTGTGACCATTGACATGCTCTATAGTTCCAAATGCATCCAGTTGCAATGCCCGACCTTCCTCGCAGGAACGGTGGCGGTCACACAGCATCTGATAGCACGCCTGATGAACATGTTCAGGTACCTGTGAAGCAGAAGAACATCGGAACTAGTCTGTACATGAAACGAGTGGTATGTACCTGCAGCGCCTGTACAAATGATCATGTGCCTGTCAGACAGTGGGTTTTCGTGGGATGGTGGGAGCCAGGGCGTGGTGTGACTGTGATCGAGACCTGCATATGACGCAGGAAGGCTTTCGGAACGGGGAGCCTGAAAACTCAAATGCAAAATTGTGGCTCAGCAACGAGAACAAAATAGGGGAGAAGAGAACTGGGACTTGGCGAGAACGTAAGTGGAGTTGCTTTGGCGAAAGTTTGACATTGATGATGACGAAGGACTGATAGGCCTACCACCAATTGGGGCGAGAATCCGTTGGCCGCTGCTGCTAATGACTTACTATCAATTTGAAAGCGGCTTTGCGCATACCGGCGTCATCATTTCCTTGGACATGGCGGTCACGTGCAGGAACACAGGCGGCAGTGCGCACCTCTACAGGCGGCAGTGCGCACCTCTACAGGCGGCAGTGCGCACCTCTACAGTCGTCACTGCAGCATTGAACCCACGCGTGAATCACAACACCTCGTCTTTCTCTTGTGCTCTTGTTTGATTTTCCTGACGCTTCCCAAGGGCCAGTTGTACGATAAGCTTATCACGTCATACCCACGCCAGACAAGTCTTTCAGGCACTATATGGTACCGGCCGCGCTGTCAAGCACAAGGAGCATGCATGCGCGGAACTTTCCATGTTTATCTCTAAGACCAATACCCATTCCTTTGGTGCTCTCTGTTCTGCAACCTCTACGTCTCTTCCTGCTGATACTTCTGCTCTGCGCCGATTCTGCCGCGGCATCATGACGGCACGCTCACACGATACACGATACACGACACACGACACACGACGACATGAGACAACCAAATCCCTGTACAAGACTGCATCGTAAT